TCACGCCTCATCCGCGAGGGACTGTGGTGGCCAGTCCACAGTCTCCTCTGTCTCGACATTCGTCACATCCACCTCCTCGGAGGAAGATAGATGAAGCGTCTGGCTCTCTCGCTCTCGCGGGGGGGGGGGGGGGGCGGGGGGGGGGGGGCGGGGGGGGGGGGGGGGGGGGGGGGGGGTTCATTTTTATCCAGAAATGTGCACGCTTTTCTGATGTTTGTTTCAGTTTTCCGTGTCACGTTTTTTTGTCTTTTTCCCGTGTGACTTGAAATGTGTGCGTTTTGAATCGTTGTTAATAAAGGTGAGACCCGTGAGGGAAAAAAACACAATCAGTTGTGGGACTAGTCTGTCATAAATTGCATACCATTCATTTCTGAACTTTCTACCGTCCATTACTGGAAATGAAATGGTTGATATGTCCCGATCTCAATAAAGTTTACACGCTTTCAGTCCGTGAACTGGATCTCGATCAGGACGCGCACTGTCTGTGGAAGTTTGGCCAGGACCGGTTCCAGAAGAAATCACTGAGGCATTTTTGTCCCATCCATTGCTTTGGTTATCACTGTGTCAATCTCTGATATTTCTAGAATGAATCCAGCATAAATATGCTGATGTAATTCTTGAAACGTTGCAGCATGTACGTGTCCGAAAAACGCAAGTTTCATACAAATTCGGAATGGATTATAGCCTAGAAAGCGTGCAAAACGCACTCCCATTATTATCACTAAAAGCATCACTCATCTTACTTCATTGCGATCTCACAAAGTTCCGTTATAATCAATGAAGCCTTCTAAACTACACAATGAATCTCTTATTTAGGCTATGTCACGTCTGCACTTATGAGATGATTCACAAGCGTGCAAAACTCCAAGGCTTTCAACGGTGAGTGAATTCTGAAAACTCTAACATTTCTGATTGGCCACTGCGTTGAAGAGATCAACAGATATGTCTGTGATTGGCTACATTGTTCAATGCCGCGAAAACACATTAGATGGTTCGCCAGATCTTTAATTGCTTTTGCTTTTGTTCCGTACAACCGGGCCTGGGCTTGGCTAACTGCTCCAATTGCAGCGGGACTGACATCGGGGATTCCATGACTAACGATAGGTTTTTTCCATGAATTGCCCCCCCCCCCCAATATCGCCAATGGTTCTGCCAACAGCCATAATCCTGAAATATTCAGACAATCTTCCAGTGGTTTCTGACTGTCTCAAGCGTACTGAACACACAAACAGTGAGAAAATCTGCTAAAATCACAAGCTCCAATCTGATTAGTTAGTCTCTCTGGCGGTTTGCCTGTCAGTCTGTTCCAGTGTGGTATTTGGGTTGGGTGAGCACCAGTCTCACATTTGGCAGGACAGTCCTGAAACTGAAAGCCACAGCCTGAATTTGGCTTACAATCATCCGATCTAAATGTTTCTCCTTCCAATGTATTTGTGTTTTTACAATTTATATAGCTAGGTGTTGATTTATATTTTATATTCTTAAGATGCAGATATAATAGTGTTTATGTTGTTAAAAAAAGATACATAAATTTGAAAGCATACATCTCTTGATGGTGCTGTATAAACAAACACCCCCCCCCCCCCCCA